CCTCCTTTTCCCTGTTTAAACTGATTATTATTTTTAGATGTTATTGGTTATTGATTGTTCTTTTACATCTTGTTGGTTTCATTACGATGAACTCAGCTATATGATATACCAAATTATATATTCATTCACTTAAGTTATTAGTTCTTCTAATTTGTATTTTCATAAGTTTGAAATCAAGTTACATGAAATATTGTGGTTATACTGGTTGACCATCGTTCTAGTATTCTTGCTGTTTTGTATGCGACTCTAAATACAAAATGTACATAATGTGCTTCAGATATTATGTGGAAAACAATATATTGGATCATAGAAATGTTATTTTTTTTTCCAATACCTGCAGATTTAAATGAATGAGTTCACAACTTGTGTTGTTTTTTTAAAAATAGATTCACTCTTTTATGGTCAAAGTTTATTAGTAAATCTACAAGGTTAAGAAGTGATTCATACACACATTTGGGGAAGACTGATAAAAGTAATTAACTTAAACACACTACAACCATTTGACACAAGTTTCATTTTGTATGACGACATACAAAGCAAAACTAAGTGTAAGTTAACAAAAATTTAATGAGTACACACAGGTTTGTTAATTTAACAAAGTTTTCATCTAGTCAAACATTATAAAAACATCTACACAGAAAAACTGTGTTTAGTTAGGTCAATTGCAAAAAAATGCTGAAGTCAATGTTGCTATACCTTGAGACAACAAAGATTCAGTTTAATATACTGTCCAGGCCAGTTGTCTCACTTTTGCCTCTGCATATATGTTCTCCAGGGCATAGTGTGAATCAGCTGTAACAAAATCAACAATCCAAACTTAATATTACTTTTACAACTCTCCACCCTAATCAAATTTATCTCAGAGGAAACTAAATGTCAGTTATTAAACATAATCAAAATTTTACCTGATATTGGACATCCTTGGAAGACTAATATGCTCATGTTTCGACAGTTATGTGCAATGCACTGAATTGAGAAATCGGTAACTCTCATACAGTGATTGATATTCAGCTCAGTTAAAGTTTTGCCACAGTTTCCATGGACCAATTCCAGTAATCCCTCATCACCAACCTTGCAGTTTACAAAAACAAAGGGAAATAAATGTATTCAATTATTAACATTTTGGAATCAAATTAGGTTTTTGGTTGAGATGACAATAATACCTGGGTGCTTGACATATTCAGGGAGGTGAGATGTTTTAATGTCCTTGTGAGAGCTACAGGGGCAGCATCGGTAATTGCATGACACCCGCCAACATCAAGCTCAGTGAGGTTGGGGCAGTTTTCAGCAATTGCTCCAACCACATCATCTGTCACACCTGGACACCTCCTCAAATAAAGTACTTTCAACTTGGGCAAATTTGGCCAAAGTGAGAGTAAAGCTAGGACATAAATGATATTTAATAATGAAGATTACACTAAATAACAATAGATCTCTTCAGAAACTGTATTCGTCTTCACTCACCATCTCTTCCAAGGTTTCTCTCCTGGTTTCTTCCAGGATTAAGATCTAGTTTTCGAAGTTCAGAGCATATTTGAATGGCCAACAACATGCCATCTGTCAAATGACATTCACTCAGATTGAGGGTTCTTAATTCAGAATGAAGTAGACTTTCCAGAGATGAAGTTCCTAGGGTCCCTCTCTTGCAAGCAATTGTTAAGAGTTTTGTTTTGAGAGTTCGAGGAAGAATTCGAAGGGAATCCACATGTGGATCTAGACATTCTGCAAGAGCTTCTAAAGCCCTGTACACACATTTTTTTTCATAATTGTTAGTAAAATTGAGCAAAGATATAAAATGCCACTAAAAACCCCAAAATTGAACTAATTGCAATACTTACAATGAAAACAAACTAGAAACTTGCACAGATCTCCACAACTCTGCATATACATTCATCTTTGTGGGGAATCGTAACCTGATAGGGAATAATTTTTGTGAATACTTGATCACACAGTGTTTACATTGTTTGCATCACAAGAATAAGCTGTACTAGTAATATGTGAAATGTTTTTATTCGATTGCATGCAGAATACCTTTCTGAATTGGAAGTAGGACAAAATACCACAGTAGTGATATTCCCTTAATAACAACCAATTATTTCAATATGTTGTTTGTGAATATGAAGAGAAGTGGAAGAATGGAAATGGTAACTATTATTGGTGGCAACCATCACCATGGTTACGATTTCGGACACTTCGGTTGCTGTTACTCGACGAGCCAGGTGTGACTACTCAAGCGTCACGAACTATCGGTATCAACGCCAAGCATTTGTTACGGCCGACCTATTACAGACCCCAGTATAGTCTTCAAATTCACAGATGAGCATCAATTAGGTTCTTTTCCTTCGACTTGCTCCGATTAGTAAAAGTACAGAGAACTTATTGTTGAGAGCAATACATTATTCGATCTCAAAACAATGTTTGTAAACAAAGATCCGAAACTTTCTGTCACTTGCAGTTTGGCGTCTGCAAGCTTTCTGCTGGGACAACGTTGTTTTTGTTTTCGCAGCTGACGGCCAGGTTACGCGACAAGGCGGTGGATGGATTCGACGAGAGGTAAAGGGAGGTTAGGGGAGAGGGGAAGTACCCTGCCCTGCAGGAGACGGCGTCATTGTTAAAATGAGGCGTAATTGACGTAAATAATGTTTATTTACTAAAGAAAAAAGTTAAATAACTTAACAAAAACGTCTTATTTATATAGCACAAAGTAGGCAGAAATATGCACCTATATAAATCATACAAAACAGAATACTAACTGAGAGGACTTGCAATGTAAGTTCCTCTTAGTCCGCAATTTGAGAATGGTTGATTTAACAATCCATACCAGTACAAATATGGGCCCCAAATCACAGCTCTAAACTCATTGTTATTTCTCTTTTAAACACAAATGGTAGACGGGAAGGGAGAAGACACAAATAACTTACTCACCTGGCACAGAAGAGCAACATTTGTCATCAAGAACTAGAAAAAAAAAGGTTAAAGACAGGCAAATTGCAATGATATCAGATAGCTGCACATCATCTGCATCATAGAATGAATAGAAAGTTTCAAAGTAAAAATACACAAGCAGTTCATCGTGCAGTAAAGAGCTGCAAAGTCAGAGAGAAATCCTGTCAGTGATTAAAATAAATCATCACTACGGTAATCTGATATATATATATCTATATATATATTGAGCTCTTGTTACATCCACCAATTCAAAGCAGCATTGGAAATTTGGTTGAAGAATGAATACATAATTTTGTTTTGCGTTCTACTCTTGTAATGCGACAATTACAATAACCATAGGTGCCAAATTATTTCACATTCTCAAACGATTGTGAAGTAATTTAGGAACAGCATATGAGATTCTAAATAAAAAGAATAGAAATAAATCCTGCATGGTTGAACAATACAGCAGTAATGCACATCTGAAAAGACAATAAATTTTGTAAAAAGAAAAAAAGTGGAGAAAAAGAAAAAGCTATGCTGAAATTTGGGGCAAAGAACAGCGATGCGTCAGACACGGGATCACATGGTGAGGTAGCTAACGGGACACTTCCAGACTGGATACCTGCAGCTCCACATTGCCTGAACCTGAAAGTTCAAAAAATTTTAAACAAGAGAAAGATAAGAAATACAACAACACCCCATGCTTTGGCTGTCAAATGTCCAAGGTAGATAAAAATTAATCATTCCTAAAATTAAATAATCTGCGGGCAAATGAAGCAAAAAAAAAAAGAAGAAAGAAGACTAGAGGTCAGGGAAAGAATACTGAGCACTTTATACATGAAGACAGTGTTTTCCTTCGGCTTTAAAACTGGTCATCTGAAAATGGAAAAAAACATGCAACGGAGGTTTTAAGACAACAAACAAATAGTACTTCAGAATGAGCAAGGAACATTAAGATCAAACATTGTTTTAGAGTGATGTACCTATTCAAGATATAAAATTATTAAATTAAACTAGCTTGGATTTTACCACATCTTTATTTGATCAGGTTTTCAATGCAGAGGAATCATTTAAAAATAGAAGTGTGACAATTATGAACTACGGTGTACAAAATATCAGATTAATGATCTAGGCTTACAATGGGACTTGAATCGGTACATCAAACTTGAAACGCAGCCATCAGAAACAACAGAAATACATGCAGTGATGAGAAAATAAATTTAAAAAAAGAAAAAAACAAAACAATTGTTTAGGCATGCATTATCCCTTCATCTTGTTGACAATACTCTCTCCCATCCACCATTTTTCAGTAAAGGAGCATATTTTACAATAAATTCAAGTCTAGCCTTTTTTTTTTGATTGGTAGAACCCAACTCAATGAGTTAATAGAATTCAAGTCACTATGTACAAAACTAATTGAAATATTAATACAATTTTTAAGCTTAGGTGGAACTATCACAACATTCCTGATGTCAAATGTTAAAAGAAGTCATGGCTCAACAAAGCAATCGTATGCTTTCAGTAGTTTCTTCTCCAGGGTCCTCTTGTTCGTCCTCCAAAACCTCTGCCCCTGCTTCTATTCCCACGTACGCCACCACGCTGAGGCACTGTAGAGAAAAACATCAAAGTAGTAAGAAAGATAATATTATAATGTCAACTCCAATAGGGGGTTCAACTACAGCTGCTTGTGACATGTAGGGTAAGATAAGATACAGAAAAAAATGTTCCTTTATCAATACTTACTGTAACTTGAAACTTTGTTGCTATATTTGCCACTAGGTGGAGTGTAAATTTCACGAGGGTTTGAGCCTACAGTTCTTGGGTGTTTAGGGGAGGCATCTCCAAAAGTAATGGGTGTGTGCCTTTTATTACCAGCACGGACAGACTCTTTCTCCAATGCTCTATCCTGGAAAATTTATGAAATTCGTTAACAATGACACATGTCATGTGAAACAGTAACTTAGTGAGAAATTAAAGACTTACACTGGTGTATGATGCATTTGCTGGCTTCCAAGACAGAGTGATAACACTTTTGAAACTTGGGGGAGTATGGAAGAGATCTTTGATGAGTGTGTTTATATTAGATGTGGTTTTGAGTGCAACAACTTTCAATTTATTCTCTTCTGATTTTAATTCCTCTCCAGTTTTCCCCCGAAGAGCCTCCTGAAGCTTTTTCATGTAACCTTGTACACTTCTTGCAAAGTAATGAAGTCTGGAATAAATGAAAAATATAACATGAATGTACACTAACAAAAAATTGGACTTTGAGCTGTGTATAACCAAGCCATTTCTTAATACCTCAGCCTAAAATCTTTAAGCTTTTCAGCATCTTTGGCTAGTGCATCAGGGCACTGTCGTCCCAGTCGATGGTAAGAATAGATTAGGCACTCAACATGGGAAAAATCAAGGCGAGGTTCAGCTTCATCAGTAGTTTCTCCATCTGGAGGAAGGGGCATATAATCCTAACAACAAAAGTGTGCAGGAGCAAAAATTAGAAATAATGTAAAATGAGAAAACTTGCATACAAACATTTGATAGATAGGTAATTATTTTAAAGTTATGGGAAACAAAAATTATAGTACCAAAAGCCGTGTGAAAACTTTGTCAACTCTGGTTTCAGCCTTTTCAAGGGTTCCACAAAAGGTTGAGAGCTCAGCTAATAGATTCAAAAGCTCCAACTGTTGATCAGCACCACTTCCTTCATCAGCACCACCAACCAAATGTAACTGTGGAAGCACTTCATCACAGAAATATGTCACGAACCTCGTAGATTCAAGTTGTTTCTAGGGTGAGAGGAGATAATTTAGTGAGAAATACAAAATTACAATTAAAGTAGAAGCAACCCACTTTAACTGTACATTTAAACTCACAGAGAAGTATGGAAGAGCATGTTTGACACAATTAACCAATCTATCAAAACTTTCATTCTCAGGATCACTAGGGTTGAAAGGTTGATCAAGCTCTGCTTGTTCTGCAGCTATATCAACAAGATCTTTCTGCCCACTAACTGTCTTACCAAGACGAGTGGCATTCAGGAGTTCCATTAAAAGATGGAACTCTTCAGCAGTCACATCCTACAACCAAAGGGGCAGTATAAAACTAAAATAAATCTCCCTAGCACAAGCAATTACTTGAGAAAATGATAGCATAGAGAACAAACCTGAAGAACTTTCTTAGCCTCAGATATCAAAAAATCTTCACTTTCTTTGTCAAAAATATCTGTTCCCTGATTTTTAACTTTCACTGTTAAAAATTTCAGACACTGCTCACGACTTGCGTCATCCCCATTAAATATTTGTGAAAAGATGCCTGTAAGAGTGCCTGAAAAGAAAAAAAAAATGATAAAAGGGAAAACAAAGTGACCAACAATATAAGTTAAAGAAGTAGAGACAATAACCTTTAGGATCGAGTTTGAGAAGTGACATCAGAGAATTGTGAACAACACTTAATTCGGAAGAATCTTGAGCTTGCAATAACTGTGCAAGAATATCAGCAATGCGCTGGGTGTAGTCCTTTAGATCCTGACACAGGCGAGGAAGATCTTTGATGGCCTGTTTACGGATCTGAGGAAACGAAAGAACATCACTTAGACAAAATAGAATCATTTTAACAGAAAATAGGCATTTTAATAGGTTATCATGTTATGTTATAAACACGTTTCCAAGCTTACCGCCAAGTCCTCATCTTCACAAAGATCAAGTTGAGCCTCTATAGCTTGATCCGTTAAAGTTGGGAAGTATTTAAAAAATCTTGCAATAAATTGCGAAGCAAGACGCTTTTCTTTGTCAGAACCCTTGACAGCTTTCAGAATCTCCAAGTAATCATCTTCATGCTAAACGAAGAAAAATTGGCAGGGATAATTGACTAATAAGTAAGAAATTTAAATTCTAACACAGGATTGTCTAGGTACAGAAACAGCAATGATCTGGAAATAGAAGCAGGTAAGCTGGTAAATAGTTAACCATCACGTCTCGTATATTTTCCAGTTTTCCACCCTAAAATGTAAAATCTCGTCGCGGCAATGGTAGCTAGGCGACAATTTACTAATCCTACCGGTAGAAGAATATCCCTCTTAGAAGACTGTTACTTAAATTTTTTAAAAAAATCGTGTAAATATCTAACAAATTGGACCGAGATCGTGAGAAACGAAGCGATGCCGGAAAATACAAGAATTACAAGAACTGTATTTTTTTTTTGGAAATAGTTTACTGCGATGAGGGGGTTAACTCACCTCGCTGACTTTGTCTTTGGCATCTGCGAGGACACCAAAGTGTTTGTACAACTTTTCAATGTTATCGGTACTCATCTTAAAAATTCTATTAACAAATGAGTGATTCAAATAGACGTTACTTCAAGGAATATGGGCTATTATCCAGCAAAAATGCCCCGGCTTCTCAAACCAACACTAGCGGCACTTTTAGCTGGAGGCGGCGCGACGACGGACGGCGACGGCGGCGGTCGGCTCGGCTTCGGTATACTTCGGTTGTAGCTTCAGTCGCTTCGGGGAACTTCGGACAACTTCGGCCCTCGCCCGACCATTTATTCACATTCTTTTTGAGGTATGAGTGATGAGTATGAGAAACATTTGGAGCTACAGCTCAGCAGTTGGGCGCGTATTTTGGTTTGAAGTTCCCACTGGAGAATGACATCGTCGGGTGGTGCTTTAAACCTGCTGACAACTTACGGTTCTAGCAGCGATGACAGTGAAGAAGAAATCCCTGGTCCAAGAGTGTCAGTCAAACGAACTATTGGGGGCCTTGACACCACAGAAAATAAGCCTAAAAAGTTCGCCACTGATAATCAGAATAAAAGGTACTCATAACCTCCCTGTTCATTTTTATTTCCTTCATAAAAAATGCGCTGTTTGATTATTTACTTTAATTTTCAAACAGTAAAAATTGTGCTTTTTAATTATTTACCTCAATTTTCAAACGGTAACTTGGGTAGTGTGCATTGTTTACTTAAGAAAAATTGCGTAGATTCATTTTAGGAACCAGGGTTTCTCACTCAATTTTATTGTCTCTGTATCTTTAGATTGCCGTTACCTTCTGTCTTCTTACAATGTTTGAATGACAGAACTGATCAACCGATAGATTTCCCTCATCAGCACAACGAACGCATACGATCATTTCCACATGAAAGAGGCAACTGGGCTTCCTACGTCTTCATAGCAGTAGGTGAGATTAAATTTGAATGGGAAACTCACCTAAATAATTTATGAATATCTGAGTCATATTCATGTTCGTGTCTAATTTCTACTAATATAATGCTTACAGAACCAACTCTGTCTCTTCAATCTTTTATTGATGTAGTGTGTGCAACATTTGATGAATCAATTAATCTTAAAAGGAACAATGACCTTCATGTTAGTTTATCCAAAACCGTTGTTGTGAAGCATCATTGGATTGATTCTATTTCATTATCAGTCCAAAGTATAGCTCATTCACTGGCCAGGTAAATTACATAAATATTCTTTATTTTGGAAACTGTGCACAGTTTGAGCTCTCATTTCAGCCATTCCTTTTATTCAGGTTTTCTATTTGTTTTGGTGATGTCAAAGTGTATACAAATGAAGAAAAGACTCGTACTTTTATTGGGATTGTTATTACTGCTGGTCATGAAACACTTTTAAAGATTACTCGTATGGTGGATAATGTTTTTGCAGATTTCAAGCTTCCGTCTTTCTATGAGGTGATTCTTGTTATAATTCTTTTGTGTGAAAACATACTTTACTAGAAATTTGTGGCATTCTTTTAATATTCTTGTGTTTGTAGCAACATTGTTAATGCTTATTCCCAATTATTTCATTCTACAGGATGCTTCATTTCACATCAGTATTGCATCATGTGTGGGAAATCATGTTGATGTTCTGAATTCTGAGATTTCAAGACTTCAGTCTTCTCTTAATATGTTTATCCACTCTCAACCTTTGGAATGGAGCATGAGTGTTGAAAAAATTCATTTTAGAACAGGAAACAAATATTTCAATTTTAACTTAGTCTTATAATCATATATACTGCATAAACTGCTTTACTTAGGCACAAAGCTAGGAGGCATTAAGACAAGAATTTCACAAATTTTACCTCGCTAACCAGGGAGAAATGCGTAGTGAGGATTATAATGGCTTTCGCTTGTGTGCACTGTACTGTTACTGAAAATTATTTCTTACATTGTCCTAAGAACAATAAATTTTTTATTAAATCACCGTATGCCTTCTGTTCCTGTTGTGGTTTTGAGTTCTTGTTTTCTCTTGGGTGGGTGGCCTTGCCTTCTTCTGTCCGTTTAATGTTGAATTTTTTTCGTAGTTCAAAATTTGCATGTTCGAAACTTGCGCTCATGTAGTCGGAAAGGAGGGGAGGGGGAGAGCTCATGTCCAGTAGCGCACTCTGTCGGAGAAGCGATTAACTGGTTCACAGTTCCGTCGCATCGAAAAGTGACGTCACCATCCAACTAGCTCGAAGATGGCGAAGAAAACGTATGACTTGTTGTTCAAATTGCTGTTAATCGGCGATTCTGGCGTCGGTAAAACCAGTATTTTATTCAGATTTTCAGACGATGCATTTACATCTACCTTCATTTCAACTATAGGTAAGTGGTCTCCTTTTTCGAAAATGGTGAGGCGAAAAGCCTCGGGGTTAATGTTAGCCTCAAGTGAGTCAAGGGTGGGTTCATTTGACTAATCAAAGCATTCCAACGTTTCATTGCCAATTGCTTCTTTTGCATTTGTCTGCGTTTGTGTGTTAAAGTTCGCTCTCTTTGGTTTGGAATTTTTCTTTTTCTGCACTACATAGATTCTGGAGAGTATGCAGCCTTGATGTCTTGGCAATCTGTGCAATTGCTGAGTTACATGATATGTCTTCAGGGCAAAAAAAAAAAAAAAAAAAAAAAAGAGGAAAAAAAATCTTGAGTGAAACACACTTGAAATCTTTGCACTTTCCCCTTAAGAAGTTGTTTTACATCTCTGTCATGTGTTTTGTATTTTGTACTGGATGTACGAATTGTCATAGGCTTTCACTTTAGGGTTATCATCATATTCTTTCTGCAAAATAATGTTCAATTTTTGTATCATTTATTTGGTATACTGCACTACTCAATTTTCGGTCTTCGATTCCTGCAACAACAAATCAATTTTAATTTATTGTTATTTTAATCTTGCAGTTTATTTAGTTGGTTGAAGAAATCATGCTCATCTTCAATTAAATGTGTGAAGACAGCTGTTTTTAACTAAACATTTGGTAACAACTTGTTTTTAATTTGTCTTTGACAGGTATTGACTTCAAAATTAAGACTGTAGAATTGCGTGGGAAAAAGATCAAACTGCAGATATGGTAAGTTTTCTTAATTGTATGCACCATTATTTTTGCTAGCGTAGTTTAATTGAATAGATTTAGTCATTAGTTCTCAATACTAGTTCCACTATCTTTCCTAAGAAAGACTTTTAAGCATGGTCACATATTTTAATTTCAACTGGCCATGTTTTGATGTTACCTAGGTAATTTTTCATTTTGATTGATTGACTCTTATTCTACCTGTTGAATAGTTGTCTATCTTTCTGCCACAGGGATACCGCTGGCCAAGAGAGGTTTCATACCATCACCACATCATATTACCGTGGAGCTATGGGAATCATGCTAGTCTATGATGTTACTGATGAACGAAGCTTTGAAAACATAGTAAAATGGTTGAGGAACATTGATGAGGTGAGGAAAAGAAGTTTTGTGCCAAAGATTACCCTACAAATTACCTGTTTAATGTACCATTCCATTTCATTGTAACTTATAATTATTCTCATTTATTCACCCCATTGTCTTGTGTTTTTTCCTCTTTCTTTTTTTTTTTTGTGTGTGTACGTTTGTTTTCCTAACCTGGTCGTGCATGCTTCTCTTTCCTTCCAGCATGCTAATGAAGATGTTGAAAAAATGATCCTTGGTAATAAGTGTGATATAGATGGTAAAAGAGCAGTTAGTAAGGATAGGGGTGATGCCGTAAGTAATCAATTATGTTTTAATGTGTTTTTTTGTTTTACCTCTCATTGAATGTGTATCTTACAGTAAGCAATTTTTGCAGATTGCCCGGGAATATGGTGTTCCATTTCTGGAGACATCAGCCAAGGCAAATACCAACATTGACAAAGCATTCAACGACCTAGCAACTGCCATTCTGGATAAGTTTGCAGGAAAGGAGCCGGGTGATGCTCCAGACAGAGTCATGGTTGATCCGCGTAGAGGAGATACTAGTCGAAGGAGTTGTTGCTAGGTTGCATGACATGTTCTGCATGCCACTTTTTCAGCCACCCACCACTAGCATTCAAGTAACAAATTTTTCTCTTTTGGTTAAATTCTATTAATCCTTTAAAGAAAAGTTTCATCTTGTGTGGGTTACTGCTACTCCCACATTGATATCGATCTTGTCAATGAAGATAAATTTAATGTCTTCAAATCTTCTTGATTGTCTCTTCAGAGGGCTGACATTGAGTCATATGGAGAAAGTGTTTTATGTCTCTCAGGTGGTGGGATTGGCTGTGAGTGTGGCATCTGGGGAAATGCTTGCAACATATACAGGATTTCTTCTGAAAATCCTTCCCATGTGTTTTTGAAGTTGATGTTGGGATATCGAGCGTTATAGAGTACCTCCTCTTTTGATGTTGGTGATGCATGGTCAGTCTTAAAATTAAGCATTACTAACAATTTGGTATAATTTTTGCAAGTAAAAGTTATCACATCTCTGAGTAATTTGCTCTGCAGTTAAGGTTGGTTCATTCAACCAAAAATTGAGGCAAGAAAAGCTAAGAAGAAATCAAGTAGCCAGGTAAATTGTCTATTTTCTGTATCAAATTTTTCATTCTTTCCCCTAATCTTATGAATTTTTGTCCTTGATTTATGCTGTGTCTTGCAATCAGCATCACCAATTATCATGAAAAGGTTGTTCAATAACTAGCATCCTTCTTGCAGATGGTTTTTGCATTCCCATTCATATTATGTAATAGTTGAGGCATGAGGCAAACACAAATAAAGTATATATAAAACATAAATAGCAAATAATTTTGAGGAATGTTACTAATCATCATAGGTTCTAGTCGTAAGGTCCAACATTAAGGATGGACTCATGCCACTGTTCCCTAGCTGCCTATTCAGAAGAGCTTGTTGGTCTAAAGATAGGCTTTAGCATTGCTTGTACATGCAGTTAATTCCTTGAGGTGATAACCACTATCAGTCTGTCTTTTGAGAGAGATATCTTATTTTTAATTTCCTTTATTCTTATTTGTATGATTATTGTCTGCATTTATTACTTGAAATGAGACATTCAAAAGTAATGCTTACATATTTGCTATATTTGGTTGCTTTGTTTGTAAGATCCAATTGTGGAAAGAATCTCGGAAATGAGAAAATCCTCTCCTTTTCCCTTTGTTAGAAGATTGTGAAGGCTATTTCACATTGGAATTATGCTTTGCTGGCCTGGCATTTGAGTTATGGTTAAGTTACTAACCTGTCCATCGGGGCATTTTATGTTTCTACTGTACAGCTTCTTTTTACTTTAATATATTTTTTGTTGATTCATATGTTCAGGACATGCACAATAGAATTTATTATTTGTCTAGTTTGTTGTGGAAGTTAAGTTCGAACCATTTGGATCTGTGATAGAAAGCTTCCACATGCGATCAAATACTGTTTTCCGTCAGGATGTGAGAACTCAGTAAATTTCCTTTTTTAAATAATAAGATTCTTTTAGAATGAGTAGTGCTTATGTCAGCTCAGTCCTTTAGGTAGTGATTTAAAGCTTTGCGACCATTCTTATGCAATTTTTCCATCAATAATTTTGCCCACACCACTGTAATTTTTTAAGTGTACCTCTACACAACTTTTCAAGCCCCATCCATTAGGTGAAGTCTATTCTGCAATTTAGATGAAAGCAGTTTGTGCAGGCTCTCTTTTCCTTTTGATTTTGCGTCCACAGTTTCAAAGGAATGTGATACTAATGTTGAAGTTTTGTGTCTTAAAGTATTATGAGCACTGGAGTATCTGCCAGTATTTCTAGGCTTATTCCTCTATCAAAAGAATCAATTAATAATGCTGTAGAACTGGCATATTCTCAGATTGATGAACTTGGATTTTGGAAGGTGCAGTCATTTATTTATACCCCTTCACATTATACATAGGCAATTGAATTCCTCACATGTTGTACAAGTCAAGCTGTTCCATGGTACAGCCATTGACAGAAATTTTGTGCCTTACCTCCAAAGAAACTGTTTTTAGACTTAATGCACCAATGTTTGTGTTTAGTTGGCATTCTGCCAATCATTCATGATATATATAGTGTACTGTTTTATAGGGCTGGTTATGACTCTGCTAGTTTGTCTTTGGTCAATCCTTGTTTAAGTGGGAAGGTTTTCTAGTTCTTTTATTTTCATAACAGCTGATGGATTTTAACTTGTCGCTTATTAATAAAAAAAAAAAAGAAGAGGAAAAGCATGGACCAATGGAATGTTTTGGCTTTGTTTGAAATTTCTGCATCTTAAGTATTTGAATTTAAGTGCCTCAATATGCTTGAGCCTGTTTGGCTCTTATTATTTATAGTTTCATTTGGAGACTTGCTCCCAATTCAATAAATTAGTCACAATTTTTCTTAATCTTTATTTTTATATTTTGGGGCTCATAGTAAAAGGAATTAATATTGTTGACACGTTGACCTCTTCAAATTTCACATGGTGTTTCACATTGGCTGCAGCAAGTAGTCTCACAGAAACTACTACATCAGTGTGTATAGCAAATGTGCCAAGTACAAATGTTAAGGGAAAAGCTAAATTTTGTCTGAAGTATTTCCAATAGCATAATGGAAAAGCAGAATTACCATTTTTTGTTTTCATTTGCTTACTATTTGTATGTTTATCATGGAGTCATGGACTGTTCAAAGCCAAGTCAAGAGGCTGTCATTTTCTTTTCCTGATATTTCTACCTAATAGAGTTTAGGAAACCATCAGACTTATTTGCCATGTGTTGCTACCTTTAATATGAATTTCATGGAGTAATGCAAGTGGACTTATGACTAAGACTTGCTTTTCTGTACCCATTTTAAAACAATTCTTGCAAAAACTTTCATGGAATCACTGATTTTTTTAATTTTATAGTATTAAATGGAAAGAACAATTGTCGGAAGCAATTTACTTGTCAGAACTAATTTTAGAACTATCATTCAACATTTTTACTCAGGTGTGCCTTCTGTCTTCTTAAATTTTTCAGTTTCTTCCATTTGACAGTTGAAATCTGTTGTTAAAATTTCTTTAAAAGTTTCAATACTATGCACAAAACATTCAAAACGAAGACTGAAATTTGTAAATAATCAGGTCTGACACTGTGAACACGTCCAGTGCCACATGGCCACTTGAGTGGTCATGGGGAGTGACGATTCCCCTGTTTTTTAAAAAACAGTTGCCAGTGAATGAGTTATTTACTTTTCAATTCACAGTTTTTCAGTAAATCTTCAAGTTTGTGATTTGTTTTTTAATGGTTCACTACATATCTGATGACAAAAGAATCAATTTCTAATCAGTATGGTAGTAAAATTTAGTCTTCGAGAATGTAACTCTTGGGACTTTGTTTAGGTTAACATTTTGTATAAACTTTTTGAAGCGTGGTAAGATAGGGTGATGCTTGTTCAGTTTTATAAGAGTTTAGTGCCCTCTCCCTCTCAATCTTACATTAATACTTCTGTCCCTTTTTTTACAACTTATATGAACGGATTGTAAGTTTCTGTCCGTGGCTTTCATTTATAAGTGATGATGTAATTTCTGGTTCATTTCTTTCCATGTACTGTTTGCTGAGTATGTAGCAACAATATTGGTATTGTATGGAATCAAAGTTAATGTTTTCTTTTTTAAATTGTATCTGACCAACATAATTTTTTGATATTGAGATACACTTCCAGCAACAGAACTAGTTTTCATAAAAAATGCGGAACACTGATCTGCCTTGGGTAATAGTTGACATTTTTAATATGCTATTGATATGGTAAATTTTTGAAATAAAGAACAGACTATGATAGCACTTTTTATGACTAAAATTTTTCTAGACTCAAAACCACTTACTCAAGGGGTGGAACCTCTTGATTGTCCTGAAATGATGCTGACACCGGTTTTTCACTTACTGCCTTAGTCTGATGTTTAAAATCCAAAAGACAGCTTCTGTCTATAGTTTTAGGTAATGTACTTGTGATTTGGCTAAAATCCATTGATGTGTCAGCTTTTCCTATCTCCAAATACTCTCTTCTGGGAAACAGAAAGGTAGATATTTATTACAATATTTCCACTTGTTTCTTTACAGAATGGGTATTTTGTTTTGTTACCTTGAATTATTTACTGGAGGTGGAATGCTTGAATAATTTGTACTTTTTGATGCCTGATTTTGGGAAGGACTTCTAGCATTTGCTTCTCTTACCTACAAAATACATTAGGATAAATTCACAGTCTTAACAAAAACTGTACTACCTTGAAGAAATCATTACCATTTGCATCTCAATCACTAGATGTCCTGTTGATTGAGACCTCTTTGCAGTGGACTTATCAGGATGCACATCCTCTGGTAGGACTATCTGGAATACTTTTCCTTTAATGTACACTCGTACATATTTAGGTTGTACATCCGCCTCAATCAATAATGTATCTAGATGTCTAAATGATTGAATGAATTAAATTTATTCTAATCTTTTACAAACAAAACACAAAATGCATTAAATACAGGTATACTGTATGTGGTATATTTACCTATAGATTTCAATATTGAGAACCAAGCTGTTGTGTTCATTATCTTCTGTCAAGGTAAAAGGAATCCTTGGTTCATTAATACTCAAAGGTTGACCATCATCTCTGAAGAGTCTGATAGTTCTCTTGGGGTTGTTGTCTTCACATCCAGTCTCTCTCTTCTTTTCCTGTTCTTTTTGTTTCCGACTAACTGTAGCCAGCTCCACCCGAGTCTCTGGTGAATTATCACATAGTTCATCCCAAAATCTACACAACAGAAAATAATAGATATATCTTTTAAGTACATATACCTAGGGTAGGAGGAAGATTTATTTTGACGACGTCTTCTCACTTTTTTAATTCTTCAGGATCATCCATTTTTTTAGATGATTCATTTTTAAGCCCTTTTTGTTGATGGTCTTGGCGTTGTTTGTCCCTTTTACCTATAAAATGTTTGATTTCCGTACTTTAAAAAAAGTAGAGGTATTTATGTTGATTTGACTTTTTCAAAATCTACATACTTTTATAATTTTCCTGTTGTTGCATGATTATCTGGGCCACCATCTCATAACGCTGTAAAGCCTTAATACGGTCTGATTTTAAAATGGTGTCTGCATCGAGGATCTGCAACTGTGGTAAAGTTGCTATTACATAATCTCTGTAACCGCTGAACTCTGTACATGGATTTCCAGTTAAATACCTATAAGTATTTTAAAATAATTTTACATATTAATTCTCCAGCTATTGTGAAGAGCAAGAAATAGCACTGTAAACATGAGAACATTTAACTGACATATACTTTGAGCATGGGTCTGAACCAATTATTGAAACTTTACTTACAGTGTATGAAGATGTATGTTTGCTTTTAAAGATTCCACACTCGTGAGCTCTCCAATAAAGTTAAGTGTCAGATCAAGTTTCTCCAAAGACTCACATCTATCCAGGTTTTCAATGCGCTCTATATTATTTAGAGCTAGGTTCAAATATTCCAGTTTTTTCATTTTATTTAGATTTTCTGAAGCACGAAGTGTTGTCAATTTTATACTAATTATTAAATTGTAACAATCTTATTTTGAGTAGCAATTACCTATTTTTGGTATAAGATTAGATTGCAATAGCAAAATACGTAATTCTCGACACCAGTTTTGGAGGTTTTCAATCTTCTCGATATCTTCTTGATGGAGGGATAACTCTTCCAAAGTTGAAATTTCTCCTTCATTGTGTTCTGATCGCTTACGAAGTAACTCAATTGTAACTGAAGAAAGAAATTGATATCTCAATAATGTGAGAAGCTAAGATGATTAGACCTTCGATTCGTACTTACTTCTGACCATATTGGTGAATCAAGCGATCAAAACAGAACTTTTTGTCTTCATTGAGCAAAGTCTCCACACTATCCATCAGCGTTGTCATAGTTACCATAGAAAAGATACCAGCATGAACTCCACTCTCAAGTAAACAACAACAATAATTCTCACCATCCACCTTGCTCCCTTGCTCTCACCTTGTCATCAGAATAACATGTTGATTTGAAAATGAAAAAACACTGAAGGTAAAATGAGCGCGTTCTTCACATGCAAAGCAGGAGGAAGAGACTTAAAAATGCGTCGTGTTTAAATATTTCCTAAATAGCGCACTTTCGTGCGTAATGGTACAACACAAGTCAAAAGACAAAACACAATGTTTTGCGTCACAACATGATAAATCTTTTTCAGGAAAAGCAAAATACGTTTCAAATTGAAAATTTGAAAATGGTTGAATTTTTGCACGATAGTTTTTTAACTACCTTCTCTTTGGTCTTGGTTACCATGTCAGGTTCGAAGGTTGATTTGCGGCAGACGCTTATGCTGCCCTCTATAGGACGAAATTACTAGAATGTAAAATACAAACATACGTCACTGTTTCTGTTTCGGCTGCTAGCAGACGACACAGTCCAAATGGTTGAAGTTATGTCAACATTCCTTATCAGGTGACCTGGATCACACTCTGTAAACTCCAAGTGCAACCATTTTTTCAACATGCGATGGAAAGATTCAGTTGGCATGTTCAGTCGCATCACCCAATTGGCATTGGTTTGGAATATCCTAACCTGCTGTTCCGTCTGTCACTATGCCACAGCTCAAGATCGAGCGAACGAATTTGCAGAACTAGACCCCTACTCAGACCATTTGATACCCGGTGATGCTTTTTTCAATGACTCTCCCTCACTCCAAGCTGAGACATCCTCTGAATTGTCAAGCAGAGAAAAGCGCAGTGCAACAGATGGACATGGAGAGGCCAAAGCTGCTAGCAACAGTAACAATATTCCTGGTGAAGAATCAAACGCAGAAGAAGTTCTTCCTGCAGGCTCACTGTCTACCAATGTCACTACAAATGCGACATCTTCCACTACTGCCTCTCCCGACCCCGTCCTCCCTGATAAAAGTGCTGCTGAGGATGAACACAACTCATCAATGTCAATATTCTTTGTATTGTGCGTTCTCGCTCTTGGCATTTTACTTATCCACCTAATGCTGCAGACTCATTTTCAGTACTTACCAGAAAGTGTTGTTATTGTATTCCTCGGGGCTCTCATCGGCCTCATTGTCAATCTTATATCAGATCAGAACATAGCCAACTGGAAAAAGGAAGAGGCATTTTCTCCTACAGCATTTTTTCTTGTTCTTCTTCCACCTATTATTTTTGAGTCTGGTTACAATCTTCACAAAGGCAACTTTTTTCAGGTACCATTGCAAATTATTATGGACTTAAACCAATTCTTTCTTAAGTTGCTTTGGTCAGTATCACATAATTATAATTTGTTCCAGAATATTGGATCGATTCTTGTTTTTGCAATTGCTGGAACAACAATATCTGCATTAGTTATTGGAGCAGGAATTTATCTTCTCGGTATCGCTGAGGTAGCATATCGACTGAGTTTCGTGGAAAGTTTTGCATTTGGCTCCCTTATTTCGGCTGTAGATCCTGTCGCAACTGTTGCCATTTTCCACGCTCTTGATGTAGACCCTGTTCTGAATATGCTAGTGTTTGGAGAAAGTATTCTCAATGATGCCATAGCTATTGTTCTGACAACAAGCATTTTGGAAAGTAATAACCCTACTATGACATCATGGGAAGCATTTAGAACTGGGATAAACAGGTATTTATGATTTTGCTGTCAAGGTCCCTATTGATCTGACTTGGTGTTGGAATTATGAATTCATATCTTTCTTTCCACAGGTTTTGTATGATGTTCTTTGCATCTGCTGGCATTGGTGTTGTCTTTGCCCTTGCAAGTGCTTTACTCCTCAAACATGTGGACCTACGCAAGAATCCTTCACTGGAATTTGGAATGATGCTGGTATTTACTTATGCACCATATGCTTTGGCTGAGGGTATACATTTGTCTGGTATGTTAAGTTTTTAAAATTTAGTTAGAGGACTATCTCATCTATAACTGCTATTTCCATTCTTCCCTAATTTTGTTGGTGGTTAATTTTGATATAAAGTTTTGGATTTATCTTACTGTTTTCAGGTATTATGGCTATTTTATTTTGTGGAATTGTTATGTCTCATTACACTCACTTTAATCTATCTACTGTAACTCAAATAACAATGCAACAAACTATGAGGACTCTTGCATTCATAGCAGAAACATGTGTTTTTGCATATTTGGGCTTAGCCATATTTAGTTTCAGACATCGTGTGGAACCTGCATTAGTAAGTACATACCACTCTAATTTCAAAACTTATTGTAAAATAAAATGCATACTCATAGGCTCCTTGAAAATGTTCTAGGTTGTGTGGAGCTTGATCCTATGCCTTATAGGCCGAGCTGCAAACATATTTCCCCTAGCCATTCTTGTTAACAGATTTAGAGAACACCAGATAACGCATAGAATGATGTTCATAATGTGGTTCAGTGGTTAGTAACTTTTTATTTGTTTTCAAGGACTATTGATGAAAATATGTTGATTCATCTCATAATATTAAAACTGTTTTTTTTTTTTTTTTTTTTTTGTTTGTTTGTTTGTTTGTTTTTATTAGGTTTGAGGGGTGCTATTTCTTATGCTCTTTCTCTTCATCTTGAGTTCAGTGATGAAACTAGGCATGTCATAATAACCACAACGTTAATTATTGTTCTGTTTACAACTCTTGTTCTTGGGGGATCCACCATGCCTCTCATGAAAGTAAGCCAAATGTCAGAATCTTGTTAGAAGATGTTCCTTCAAAAATGCAGCAATAATATTGGTTGTTTGTTTCAGTTCCTACAAGCTGGTCGTAAAGAGCGTTCTAGGAGGAGGAGGAGGGAGAAAGGTTTATCATTAAGTAAAACCAAAGAATGGGTAAGACTAATCTTCCTTCAAATCTATATAGTAACGAAAAGGCTGATAAAGTTTGTTATTTACCAATGTAAAAAATATATTTGTAAATACAGGGACAAGCAATCGACTCAGAGCACTTATCTGAGTTGACTGAAGAAGAAATGGAAGTTGGTTTTATGCAGTCCCGCATCAAAGGCTTCTCTCGGCTTGATATAAAAATATTCATACCATTTTTTACTAGACGGTTCACACAGCAGGTAAGCGAGATTGTAGACTTATAAAGTTCTCAAATAACTTCATTTAATTCCACTAACTTCCGTTTACTTTTCATTTTAGGAACTGAAAGATTGCAAGAGCCAAATGAATGATTTAACCAACCAATGGTATCAGACTATTCGGTTATCACCAACTGAAACAGATGATGAGGCACCTCTTGCAGTTTCATCTCAATCTCAAAATCCCTAATAACTCAATGCATACCGCATCTTAATGTGTTTCAAAATATTCAAAACTTTTCAAATCTTTTTGAACTCATAAGGTACATAATGTTAAAATTTGACTGTGGAATCAGACAATAATTGAAATGTGCAAGTATCCACATTTTATCTGAATCTAGAAAAAGGTTAATTGAAATTATGGAAAAAATCATTGTCTTGTTTTCCTGCTAAGAGAATGTGTTGTGCAATGTTTATCAAAGTCTGACTTAATCCATATTCATCAGGGTCCATTTTAAGTGATAGGCTTACTCCGATTTTGAATCTAAGTAGTTTGTCATATAGTGTTATCACAGCAGGAAGAAGTAAGGTAAACAGGAGAATGTATTACAAAAATAACAGTATTTTGTCAAGTGGTAAAGGGTTCTTCCAGCCTAGTCACTATTATTTGGAAGAAATCAGTGTCTTTCTGAAAAGACACCCCATTTTCACTGGGTAGATAATCTAAATATTACATTGTTAGTAACCTGTGTACTATGTGTATTGGTACCTAATATCTATTACTCAATATTAAATATTCAATTTCTTCAAGATTTTATATATTATCGTATATATTTTGCAGTAGGCTATGTTCAAACAATTTTTTAGGACAATGTTGTTTAGCATTAAGAGTGTTACATTCTGATGTGCTTTGGGGTGGCATATAGTGATAAATATGAGCTTTATTGGTACTTAAAAGTATTTGTACTCTGGTGACAATGTTGCACAAAGAAACAATTGTGATTTAGAATGGGTGTTTTCTTCACTTCACAATACTCCTTTCTTGCTTTTTAAAATTTAGACAGTTACATTTCAGGTTTCCTGGGGAGCAGGTGGAAGTGTGAAAGAATCACACCATACCCCTACTCTCTTTGTGTAAAGTTGATGTAAATTCTATGACATGTATTTGTAAGTATTTTCAAAGTACTCTGAACAAAACTGAGTCACCAAATATTGTGATTTAAATTAATATGTAGAATAAAAGTTGTGGTGCCTTTGATTTCTTTATCATGATTTTATTGAAAAATTGCATTCTAGCCTGATAAGATCAGTTTATAAATAAGATATCACAGTCTTTTTTTCCTTGTTTACACACACATAAAACACAACAAAAATAAGCATATGAAGCAACACAATGAAATGAACTCACCACTTGATAGGGAAGCCCCAATCGCTACTGTCGATCTAAAGGGGAATTTCCTACACGTCATCTAATTAAATTTCTTATTGTCCTTGCTTTACTTATATGCTAAGCAGCAGCGCAGTCCCCGCCAGCGTCCACTTTGTCGGCTTATCCCGTGTCTTGAGGTTGAACGTCCAAACAAATGTGGGGCCTCTCTGTCGTGTTTTGTACACTGGGCATTGATACATGTTTCGAGTTTCCTGCTTGTCCTGGGTGATGGCTCGCACGTAGATGACGGGCATCAAGGGGAAGAGATCCTTGTGACGGGAGTCCACGATGCAGCCCAGGCCGACGTCCCAGCGCGCGCCCTCCATGTACAGACCGTGCACGTTGGCGCCCTCCCGTGGTGCTTGACTGAAAATTAAAAGGAAAAATCAGAATGGCACTTTCCTGTTTCTTGAGATGGAATGTGCACTGCGGAATGAAGATGATGGCATGATAAAAGAATACGTAGGATAACATTATTCTAGAGCAGAATAGGCATTCTTCATGACACGGTGTTTCTTGATAGGTGTACCTGTTGTAGAGTTACCACACCACGTAAGCCCACCTGAAGTCATCCCTGCCTTTCTTGGTGACGTCGCACTGCAGGCACATCTTGTCAAGGGGCCACTCGTTTTTACGCGCCATGCTCTGCATGATGGCGGTGAGGAAGGACTGTGGGTTGAAGAAGCCAGCCAACCACACTGAACCTGGCATCTGAAACACGACGGCAGTGGCGTTTATGAGACGAGCGCAGAATGCTGGCTTGACACTGGTTGTTGTGCTTGAGGGAGTGGGGACATGGGCGGGACGGAAACGAGGCGGGAAAAGTGTGTGTGAGTAGGGGGGGGGGGGGCTAGTACATACTATGAAGTCTTGTGTCCAGTTCTCGAGCTCCTTCAGCCTAAGTTGCAGATCAGCGAACCAGGACGACAGCGGCAACATTGACGGGTAGGCTTTGGCTGACCAGTTCTCCGGCACCTTGTCAATGAACAGGCTCTGCTCCAAGTTCTCCATGGCGGGCGTGATGGTGAGTTCTCCCTGCAAGCAGCAAAACCAGAGCGGGGCTAGCTGGTGTCGTGGTCTATGTGAAGGGTGTAGGGTGTAGGAGGAGCCTAAGGCAGTTTTTTCTGTTTTGTTTTTTGGGGGAACGTGCACCAGGGGTGGGGGGGGGGGGGCTAACCTTGAGGCCGAGGTCGAGATCAGTGAGAGACTGTCTGAGCTCCGCCATGAGCTGGTTCATGCGCTCGCACTCCTGGAAGGCCACGATGACGTACGGCGTTCGGTCCTCCACCTTCCCCATCATCTCCGCCATGTTGAACGGCTCCGGCAGGCGCTCGAGGATGTCGCTCAGCATTTGCTTCACCTGTAAAGGAGAGCTGTGCAGGGTGCGGGCACGCGGGGCACGCAAAAGATCGTGGTTCCTCTAGCAAATGTAATTTGTAACAGGGTGAATACCCCCTTAGGATGCACCCACAAGGGAGCGTTAATGAAACGTTTAGCGCACAACGTTTCGCCGAGCCGTCTGTATCCACCAGCGGCGTGCGCTCGCGGCGACGGCAAAGGAACGCCTACAACCCACCCTTGTGGGGAGCAAGGTGCCCATTGCCGTCCCCTCCTCCCTCTCCCCTGTTGAGCGTATGGTGCATAAACATTCACGTGATTTATTCGGGCCTCGGCACGTACCTTCTCCTCCCTGGACACGGTGACACCGGACCCTGCCATGGCGTCGCGGGGCTGCATCTCGAAGACGGTCTTGAACAGCTTCTCCGACGTGGCCGTGAGCGAGGAGATCTCCGCGTTGGGGTGCAGCCCGTACAGCATGGGGCTCTCGGGGGGCAGGTAGTCGTCGATGTACTGGTGGTACGACGCGTAGTCGGAGTTGGGCGGGGACGTAAAGCCCGGCGCCAGCATCAGGTCACCGTCAACCTGACGCACAGAGAGCTCGTTAAAATCCGCTCCGACCAGAGGTACAGATCACGTGTGTCGAAGGGCTCTTCCAGAAAGTAGGTCCGTTTTCTGAGATTCATTCGGCAAATTACGGGAGATCGGCGTGCGTCAGCGCCTGTGAGACTCGAGGTAGGCCAACCCGCAGTACACACATGCGCTGCACGCAGGGTGTTGCCTACCTACCAGGCGCTATGAAAGCTTGCATCTTCCAAAGGCTGCAGATATGTAACGGCAAAAATGACAGGCGCACTTTATGGTTGATCCCACATCTTACGAAGACGGGTGAGAGTGTATCTCCTTCCCTTACGATAGTTTGGCTTAGGTCGTTCCCCAATGCCCCCCCCCCCTTTCCTCCTCGCCCTGCGAAGGAGAGGAAGAGAGTTGCTGACCTACCAGCTCAGCCTGTAGGTATTCTTCTAGGTACGTAGCGCAGAGGCGTCGGTCCCAGTCGTCAGTGATGTGACCGCCGTACATGATTTCACCAAAGAGGTACCGCAAGTCCTCCCATGGCACCCTATTATTTGCCTCCAGGTAGTTGTAAAGCACGTTGACGCTTATGGTCAGGTCACCTACAAAAAATCAAATGTCAGTTTCCACCTCTGCCACGTCTGATTCTATGAACATATATCTGCAGATTTACCAAAGTTGAACGGGTACACTCGATTCCAACCCTGCGCAGCGAACTTGCGACGCTCCGCGACGACAGCGTGGAAATAGCACAAAGCGAAGAGGATCGACTTGAATTCGGCTTCCTTGGTGGACATCTCGAGGGTCTCTTGCGAAAAGTTGTCCAATGCTTTATGGAGGTTGGCGTGCATGCCCGTGGGGGGCTCGTTGGTAATTTTGATGGAAGACTCCAACACGCCCTGAGGCAAGATGTGGAACTCGGGCGCGGGAGCGGGCTCGGCACTCATGAACAGCCGGTAGTTGTCATGGGGATGCTCTGCGCACTTGTCCATCCTCTTCTCCAGGCTCGGCAGCCAATTGGCCACAAGGTGAATATTCTGCAAGAGAAAATCGTTGCGACTTGCGAGTGATCGGAGGATCGGGGCTAAAAGGGAAGGACATTTTCGCGGGAAAATCTTAGTGTGCAACAAACGTTTTCATACTGAACTCGAACACTGCGCAGCGCAGTAGTGCGCAGCTTGACTCTTGTTTACCAGCGTCAGATGTTACGACGTAAATAAAATTGTTTTTGGTTGTTACGTAAAATTGGTTAATCAGGTATGGGATCAACTGAAATGTCTAAAGATGCCTAACTCGTTGTTAGAATATGAGGTTTGGCCAATTGAGTCGATGAAGAGTGTGTGTCATTGATATTAACCTGCAGTTTTGAGAAATATTGTAGTTGCTCATAACCTCTTGAGATAAATTGCGTTTGTCACTGTTCTGTGCACAATATAATTTTCCCATTGAATACTCTCTTAAGGTAGGTAATAAAGTAATTAATATATTTGACGTTTTGAATTTGTATTGGTTGCTTAAGAACAATCGTTTCACTTTTAGATCTCATCAGTATGCGGAGATCATTTTATCTGGCAAGTGCCTCAACAAATAACTTGACAGAAGCAATGAAGCTTTGTAGCTCTACAGTACAAGGAGTTCGGCATCCCAACCACCTCACCAACCTTTATCCTAATTACAAGAAAGAGGAAAAAGGATACTGCCCAGGTAACTTTTAAACTATAATTTTTTTGAAAGGAAAGAGAAAAATTGTTAAGAAAAATGACGTTTAAAGAAGTGTTAACAAACTTGTCTTATCCAGGTATTCTCCGAACACTACATCCTTCGGAGTACAACTCTACCAAACATGTTCAAACCAGTCAACCACCTGGAGAAAACGAAGTCATTGTTTTTGACCACCAAAAACAAGTCCATGCCAAAGAGGATACACAGGAGGAAAAATACGATGAAATTAATTTTCGTGAAGAACAAGATTTACTAAAGATGACTGAATTATTTCATACGGAAGTAGATGCATGCTTCACTTGCACGAGGGAAGATTCAACATACCTACAGATTGTCAAAAAGTTACGAAATATTTTCTTAGATGCTCTGTTTGAGGATGCCAAAAGATATTGTGTTGGTGACTCCCCAGGAGAGATTCCAGAAACTCTAGATCAAAGAAAAAGTGAAATATGGAGAGCTGAGAGATCTATTCGTTTTCCTGCTTCGATGGCAAAATACTTTATAAAGCTTCCTCAAGTATGCTATGCTGATGCTTTGAGAGAACATTTATGGACCTTACTTCCAGGTATAGCTTCAATGTATGGTATAGAAATGGAGGATAAAGCTCGTGTAGATTACATTAAATGGGCTCAGGCTCAAGATGAAACAACTACTGTTCAGCAAACAGGAATGTGGGTAAATCCTGCTTTCCCACAATTGTCTTGTAGTCCAGATGGTATTGTGAGATCCCAAAAATCTCCGCCAAAGCTTTTAGAAATCAAGTGTCCAGAGTTTATAAAAAATGCGAACTTTGCCGACTTTGAAAGTTGTATTCGCAGTTTAGGTTTAGATTATACAAATTTTTGCCTTCAAAAAAATTCTGATGGTACTCTTTCTTTGAAAAGGAATAGCTCATTTTGGTTTCAAATGCAAGTATCAATGGGAATTCTTAATTTTGAAGAAAGTCATTTAATGCTCTGGAGTCCCAATGGATTCCTCATTTGTACTGTTAAGTTTGATTCAGATTGGTGGGAGTTGAGTAAGAAGAGACTTATTCAGTTGCATGCTGAGCTATGGGTACCTGAATACTTCTTAATGAGAATTCCTCGTTATTTACGACCATTGAGAATACCTTTCGAGATGGAGTGACATTTCTGTGTTTGCTGTTTTTGTTGTTGTTTTTCTATGAATGAGTTAACATTTATACGAAACCGTGTGAAAAATTATGTGTAAGTTAATATCTTTTTATAAAAGGCTGACAGTATTATATATTTTAACTTGTGATTTAGTAAATTTAGGAACTATTTGGATGACTCAATCTATGCAATCTATGCAATCTGAGCAAATAGCAATAAATGCCAAACATTACATATGTTTCCACTTACCTGTAGTATGACCCAATGCCCCTTCTTAGCTGCTCGCTTCATTGCCTTCTCTGCCACTGGCTCCTGGCCCTGCCCTAGCGATACGTTGTGAAAGTTGCGCTTGTCGGAAGTAAAGCCCATCTTCCGTCCAAGTTTCTCCACGTCCTAGGATACGTATCATAAATTAGCAACATGTCTTCAGAGTATTACCTTCTTCTTTCCACCCCGGCTGTGCTTACTTTGAGGGGGTCAACGCCCGGGGACAAAATGAAGAACGTTGGTGTCGTAGGACTGCTCTCCTCGAAAGATTTTTCAAACGGAATCGACCGAGACTCGATGAACTTCGATCCCAGTTTTTCCTCTATGAACGCCCTGCAGGGAAAGGAAAAATCAGTCGCGGAACGACAGCAAATGTAGGTAAAAGGTTTAGAACATAGCTTAAATATGGGATGGCTAATTATTTAGCTACAGCTAAAAACTTAGCTATCTATCTAAATGTAGGTGTGTGGGTAGAAATTTAGCTATACAGCTAATAATATTTGTCCGTGCATCCGCGTTTGCAGGCCTATTGGGGGTGGTCGAGAAGCTTTGTCCCTCTACTTACTGCGTGGCGTAGATCATCCGATCGGGCCTCAGCGCGCGCATCATGCACAACCGCTGCAGCGCCGATTTGCCCTTCCAGTCCCCGGGGAACTTCTCCTTCTCGGGAGCCTCGGACTCAACGAACGTCCTCCAGCGCTTGGCGGCACCCTCGATGTCCTTGTCTAGGTTCCTGGCACAGAACGCGGAGTCGTGATTCCACAATGCACTGCACTAATTTCCAACTACAGGTAGCACCCGGTGAGGAATGGTGCTCAAGCAGATGTCGGAGCGGATGCCGTATTCCAAAGTTTGTATCCACATCGTTTGCACCATTCGTCACCGGTCTTAAGGACAGGTCAGACAAGCCCTACTTGAACTCGGGCATGTTCGAAAGAGCGACGATCCCGCCCCAGCAGGTGTCGGACAGGAAGTCGATCGGGCTCTGCAGGTTGGTGACGAACGGGTAGCGCAGAAGGAAGTCCAGTTCAACGGGCTCCACTTCCTGAGCTTTGAGCAGCACCTGTATGTAGCAATGCGCGCGTCAGTCGTCATGAACCTTGTATACGGTCAATTTCATTTTTACTCGTGCTTTGTTCTTCAAGTCAAAGTGAAAGCCGACATGCATCCTATGGTGGTGACGACGCCCTACCTTGTCTGCTGCTTCCATCTTGAATATCGAGAGAGCATTTTCAAAAAAATCAAAAACAAAGTCGAAATGTGATGTCATAGTATCCCACAAGCAACGAGCTGTGTTAGTCGGGTAATAAGACATAAGGGCGCCAACTCGTCGACGGCTCGCGGCGATCGGACCTCACCTGCACAGCCATCTGCGTCATGAAGATGAGCTTGTCCGCCTCGAAGAGCCCCCTGCTGGTGTAGATGTAGGTCTGGTACGTGATGGAGTCGATGAGGTTGTGCACGCGGGCCTGCAGCGTGTCGGCGGGCGCGGCGAGCTGTATGCCGCGGTGGAACACCACCGTGTACGCCTGTCGGAAGGCGAGAGGTCAGAGGGGACTCCCTTTACTGAGGCGAAACGAGGGAAAGTTTGGCGCCTGACGTTCCCTTGGCCCTGCGCCGCGCCCGAGCTCCTGAGCATCTTACGAGGCGCCCACAGCGCGGGCCGCGCGCTCCACACAGCTGCTTGGCGGGCCGGCCTACCCAACGCGTCGCAGGCGCTATCCATGGGATGCAGCTGCTAACCCTACAACTACACTGAATCTCACAAACCCTGCAGGTGACAGTGATGACGAATTCACAACTTTTTTGGTATGTGGGGCCAAAACAGAAAGGTGCCAAAAGTATCCTCGCTTCGCCTCGGGGCCTACTGGGAAAGGGACACTTACCTTGAGCGAGAATTGGTAGACGGGGTTGATCTTGTGTAGGTCGTTGAGGATGAAGTAGAGAAGGGCTGCCCGAGCCGCCGCTGGGCGATAGTGCTCTCGGGCCTCGTCGATGCGCTTCCCCGTAACCTTGGACTCCTCCACCTTGACAACGATGTCCTCTGCCGTTCGCTTGGTCTTCTCCAGGTTGATGACCAGGGCCTTGTCGGCGAGCACGTTGTCGCCCGCCGAGCTCAGCCTCTGCAGCAGCTCATCCTCGAGATTCTTGATCTCAATTTTGTACGAGTTCTGCTTCGTGGTCAGCTCCATCTACGCAAAGAAAAGACGACCCTATTGGTTCCATTCGGCTTGGTGTTCGGCAGACGCGAATACCATGGCCGAACGCTACGCACCCTGAGGCTCTCCAGGTCGGGCCGCTCGGCCTTCACGACCTCGGCGAGCAGCTGCTCCTCGAGGCCGTCGCGCGTCACCGTGAAGTTGATGATGGTCGTTTGCGCCTGCATCTCGGGCTTGTAGTGGGGGTTGGCCAGTTTCGTTTGCAGGATCAGGCGGAACTTGGGGTTGTAGTCGATCTCCTTGTCACCCATCTTGATGGCCCTGAGCATCAAGAATGTCTGGGAATGAGACCAACCTAGTGTACCCCTCACAGGCATGGTGCTTAGTGAAACCTTAAGAAAAATATGAGGACTAATTCCCCTTCCAGAAAACATTGAATTT